TTGTTTTGGTGATTTTCAATGATGTGAGAGAAGTAGGTGGATCTGCAGACTCTATAGTAACCTTATAATCAGATAAGTAATCTCTCCAGGCCTGATAATGTATCTGTTTAATATCTGTTTTCCTATCACTTTTAAGTTGTCAGTTTTTCTTACATGTACTATTCATGCATTCAATGGCTCAGGCTGTTAAGGATTTTTGAAGAATGTATGTAGATAATGCTAAACAGTGAATGAATGGTGTGTAATGTTTAAATGAATTTCTTAAATGTTTCTTAAAAGTTTAGCCACGGTTCCTGGCTAGGATTGCAGCTAACTGCAGTCTATCCCAGAAACTTAAACGACAAAGCAGGACTAGGAGCAAAGACTACCCTCACCCCAAACATGAGGTCAGATAAAATAAGATCAATTTATTGGCCAAATTCAATTTCTTGTATTAAGGATTTGTCTTTTCTCATACCCCAACTTCCTCTCCATGAGACACACAGACAGGGAGAGAAGCGTGGGGTCAGAGCGCAGGGTCAGCCATTTATACAGCACCCCTGGAGCAGCTGGGGTTAAGTGGGCCCAATGGAGTAGGACTCCTCTACCAGCCACGGGATACGAACCGGCAACCTTCCAGCCACAGGCACAGAGCCTTAGCCACAGAGCCAGATCAGTCCATTGCAAGGCCACACAGAAAAGGACAATTTTAAACCGACCACGAAAACTAGCCAGCATGTCTTTGGGTGGTGGAAATAAATGTGAGAATGTGGGAAGAACCCGCAGAGTCCTCACAGAATGAGCCAAAGTCAGGCATTGAACCCAAAGGCTGACAGGCACAGAGCTACCAACCAACACTTAACATTAAAGAAATTCATTGAAATAAAACATTTGATAAGAAACAGCACCACCTTGTGTTAAAAGCTAATTCATCTTGCAGCAATAGTAAAAGAAACCAATTTAACCTAACCTTCCAGAGGTCATGACACAGGCTGGTTTAAGACTCTAAACTCTTGGTTTGACCTCTTCACAACGCCAACAGTCATCCCTATTCAACACAAGGAGCAATAAAATTAGAATATAATCACACACAGGTACTCCTGTACTTCCTGTATATTTTGCACATTAAGTTCCCAAGAAAATAATCATAAGTTTACCTTTGTTAAACTTTAGGTATGATGACGTTAGGATTTGCATTTTTAAGAGTATATGATACCATACAAAATATGGTGGTTTGCCTACAATATTTTGCCTTAGTCCGTCTGTCCTGTAAAAAAAACTTCAACTGTTTTTGTGTAGCCTGACAAGGACAATGATAGGTCTTTCCCTAGTGTGGTGGTGGTGTACATCTATTATGGTTATTATGGGGTAAAAGCATTCTAATCCTGCCTTCTCCACGGATGTATAATATTTATTCAACTGTTTTTTTGGGTACCAGAAATTACAGGCCCTGATAAACACCTACATAAAAATTATGACATGAGAATGTACTCTAAGAAGGGAGAGAGGGAATTCCAGACTATACTGCAGTAATAGCACACTGATAAAGCACCAGCAAAAGGCCTCGAATTTCAGTTTGTTTTCTTATTCCTCAAATCATTATCGCAGTAAACTGTACTCTTAGTTTCTTTTAAAGCAAGTCAGTGAATCATTCCTCGCTGCCTACAGCTAGGCTTTGCTCTTTTTGAAAATCTAGGAGTAATTTGCATCACGAAGGCTATAACACAAGAGGAAACTATGCAGATCCATTCCTTAGGAAATGTGCACCACTGGATAATACAAATAAAACATAATCAAAGCAGCATAAGATAAGGGAGAGGGCCTACATATACCTGGTCTGAATGAAAATGACAATAAAGAGGATATTAATAGACAAAACATACAAAAAGTTAAAATCAGAAGAGACCATTCAACCCATCTAGCTTGTATTGTTGATGGCTAAATGATCCGAGGTCTTGATCCTACCATATATCTTGAAAGATTATAGTATTAGTTATCAACAACAGCCATATAAGAAATGTGGAGGAAAAATGACAATTTCAAAAATTTTAGGAGTGCCTTTTTAAAAAAAATACTTTTGTATACAGTATATTCAGATTTGAGCATAGCAGGATTTTTGCTTAAAACGGCAAAAATAAAACACCCAAAACGACTACTTTAGTAATGTTTATTCACAGGGTTTGCACTCTCTTTTACGCAAACATTTTTACAACACTCTGAAAAAAGTTCATATTTAAGAGCTTAACTGTTAAGTACAGTAGAGGGCACATGTACAAACCATGTTCCATATAAAGTGTTTGCAGTCCTGTACATGGGGGTTCTGTATAATACGCAAGCCCTGGGCAACACTTAGAAGAGAATGCTTAGGCATTCAAATTAAATTTTAGTTAAAAGTGACACAATATTAAGGTTTAAAATGACCCTTGTTCACAGAGTTTTCAAATTTATGAAAATATGAACCCACATCCAAAACTGGAGAAGTAAAAGCTCAGTTTCTTGTATTCAAAACAGTTCATTAGATTCATGCACACTACATCTGATTTTGAAAATCAACATTGCTTTCACTAGAGGGTGAAAATGCAACATTATAGAAAAACTCCAGTTATCTTAATCTTGTCTGTATCCAACACCATTAATCAAATAATTTCAACTGCACTTAGGATTAAAAAAATACACTAAGTGCACCTTATGTATAATGTTATGGTTTACAAAAAATAAAACAAATTAAATGAGTTAAAAATGACAGGCAGTACAGCTCCCGAATTACTATGCTTTAACAGCAGAGCAACAAACCAAAATTAGTCAGTAAGCCAACTGACTAATTTTGATATAACAAATTACCACAGTCATAAGGTTAAGGTTTTACAATTAACCCAGAACAGCTGTTAGATTTCTTACAGAACTGCTAAATCGAGTTGTTTAAACGGCTGATGAATAAAGCAGAGTGGTCAATCACAGGTTTCCTCACAGATTTTATTGAATATCCTACTTTGGTCTCCGTTTCAATACAAGTGCATCTTTAGCTGTCACACCAATTAAAAAAAAAGTCATACTGTTTTTTTGTATCTTTCTACTAAACACTTCAGCGTATCGGGAAGTATGCAAACTTTCAAAATTTAACAAAGACACAAAAAATGCAATTTTCTAATCAGTGCTGAGGGGAATAAGGTGTATTCAAATACCTTATCTGGTACCTACTGGAGGACTGGAACATGTTCACAGCACAGGTTCCTCTGATTCACAACAAAAACCCATACACAAAAAAATGCTAATGACAAAAACTGATACCAGAAAGTAAAAGAAAACCAGACCATTTCAAAGTTCTTCAGACATTTAAAAGGGGATTACCTACCATGCTTTTGTTGATTAAATAGTTAGAATGAAACTTAAATAGATAACAGAATCTGCTGATAAGTTTAACACACTGTGGATCCCAAACAAATTATACATTTCATGCAAATAATGATGTAAAGTAGAAAACAATGCTTGGAGCAACTTCTAAAAAAGGCTATGCACAACTTTGCCTTGTCTATACGTTTCCATATAAAGACCTGTTTTTGTACGCAAGTTACAAAGATCCCATTTAACTAAGAATATGTCTTTAATGGAGACAAAACTGAAACAATAGGTATGGCTAATGATGCCTGAACTGCTTCTTTCATATGCTGTTGTCCAAGCAATCATTACAAAGGGATCTGATCAAAATGCAGTTAAAAACCAAGCCACATTCCGTTACCAGTTTTGAAAAACAAGAGAGGCTTGATAAAAAGTGTGCCTCCAACAACATTATACAACCAAATTTTACACAGGGTCAAATAAGAATTTAATATCAGGGATTCAATAGAAAATATATGGTATTCATACATTCAGGTAAGCAATGGTGAAAATAAACTAAAATATATACAGACAATAAATTAAGGTGTTTTCTTTCCAATTAACATAAAAAGGTTGTTTCTTTTATTCAGAACCTTGACGACAATACATAGGGTCTTAAAAAAAGCAATTATATAATGTGCACATCTTTATTTTCTATATATTCTGTGAATCAAAATCCATAGCAATGTGACAATCCTTTGATGGTCTGACACCAGTTTCTTTTTTTCGTTGAGAGTCCCCCAGTATGTGGTCTGTGAACAGTATCAGGTGTAACTATGTGATGTGCTTTGTTATGATCCAACACGGGTTGTGGTGGTTTTCTTGTCAGAGAAAAAGCTCCTGAGGAGAACTACCTGGCCAATGCTCACAACCAGCAAGATAACAGCTTCTCCAACAGACCAGAAAGCAACTCTGGTGTTCAGGTCCTCTGCACGGCTGCGTCCTTGTGCCTCCCTAAGGCGGAAGTGTGTCTGGTAGTCGATAACAGACTTAAGGGCTTCATGTATCGAAACGCATGCAGACTCCATCTGGAAAAGATCAAATGTTATAGCAAATCTGGCAAATACTGTTATACTACTTGTTTGGGTACAGCATGCACCATTAATCTACTGTTCTAGCTATGGGTTCAAAAATGAAGCATGTAATTGGAAAACACTTATTAAACACCAAAACTTAAATACAACTAAAAATGGCTGATCATATTTCCCTGTGAAAATTCTATTTCATAAGCAAGTTTGAGTACTCAGAGAAGCCCACAATATTTTATATGTCTGATTTATGAGGTCCTATTCCAATCATGAGGAAAGTAGGTGAGTTTAAAGGGAAAGTTTTAACAGCACATCTTTGGATGGATCTTTCTCAAGAGCAATGGGTATGTGTAACTGCAAAAACCTGAAACCATAGATTTAACGAAATCCCTATTTAATTAAATCAATACTTGTGCATTTTCTGAAGCTCCTAGTTTCATGTAATAGCTGATCTGCTACAGTAAGAACAATTAAGCAAGAAGCAAATTAGAACTCAAACATGAAATGGGTACAGATCTGTTTTAAAATAACTTTAAAAGGTAAATGTCATATTTTTGTTATATTTCTTGCTCTCTGTGTGGCATCCAAAATAATATTTAAAAGTATAAAACTCAGGCGAATGTCAGAATTACAATGGCTTTAGAGCTCTACTTGGCTCCTCAGAGACTGTGCATTTGTCTGCAGTAAGGTCTGACTAGGTTTCTCATTCAGCAGGTCACACTGTGAGCACTAGAACTCCTATTATACTGGACATATCAGTACAACTTAACAATAATTGTAAACAATTTGCTTGTGTACATCCAGAATAAAGCAGGGACTTTGCGCAACCTACGAAATTGCTTATTTTGCATTCCTTAGACAAAAGTGGACAATGTGGAAAAAGCTGTTGTTTTGCAATGGATATCTGCAAAATTCTGACTCCTGCAATCAGCTGCATACCTGGGTCAGTGCCGTAACTCTGTTCTCATTGGGGAAAAGTGGTGGGTCTTCTCCAACTTGAAAGTCAAAGTAGACAGTTTTGTGCGTGAAGGTGGAGAACTCATTGCTGAAACAGAACTTGTAGGTCCCATTCTTTGCTGCTGTGAAAGTAAAACTGTCATACTGCTTTTTCATCTCCTTGTAAAGAACTGTTCCATCTGGGTCTTCAAGACGACAATCCACATCATAATGGCCTCCTGTTACAACCTAAAAGAAATAAAGAAACTGTGAAGCATGAATCTGCACTCCACCAGATGTCGGCCTCACTTATCACAAGGACGCGTTTCAGAGAAAGGAATGCCATGGGATTCAGGGCTAACATTCAGGTAGTCCTCAAAATAAAGGAAATACTTGAGTGAATGAGGGAAACAAAGTGCACTGAAAGCAGGTGCTTCCGGACAGGCGTGGTTCCTGAGTTAATTAAGCAATTTACATCCCCATCATGCTTAGTGTCATGTATTAAAATGCAAGACAGACACAGCTGCCTATTATTTTGGCTACTATGGCTAAATGAAAGGCATCTCCATGACTTTGAGAGAGGGGTGATTGTTGAGGCACATTTGACAGGAGCATCAGTGGCAAAGACTGCTCAACTTGCTGATGTTTCATCTGGAACAGTGGCTAAGGTGATGTTGACGTGAAAATCCGAAAGATATCATCAACTAAGGGCAACCACAGACAAACAGTGCACGTTCCTCGAACATGAAGTCCAAACGAGATTCAAGGCCAAAAAGACAAGCAACTCTGAATCAGTGGACTGCAAATGTGAATCTAACGCATGACATTTGCAGTCCTTTTCATCAAGGGCCATCAAGAACTTCACAGATGGTGTGGGGAGCATTTTCCTGGCATGTGTGGTAGGTCCACACAACCCCTTAAGAGGGCAGTAAGTCCAAAGCCATTCTGATTGATCGTGCTCATCCTATGGTGAAGCATTTCCATCCTGAGAGAAGTGGAATCTGCCCGGATGAGAACGCCCCCTTCCACAGGGCACGTGTGTCACTGAATGGCCCGATGAGCATGAAAATGATGTAAGCCATATGCTATGGCCATCCCAGTTACCAGATCTCAACCTAATCGAACCCTTATAGGAGAGTCTGGAGCAGTTCCTAAGACAGCATTTTCCACCCCACCATAACATAACTACAAATTATGGAATTTCTCTGGAAATAATGGTGTTGCATCCCTCCAGCAGACACTTGTAGAATCTATGCAAAGATACAGAGAAGCTGTCACGGGAGCTCATGAGAGCCCAGCGTTCTATTAAGACATTTTATGTTGCGGTTTTCATTATTTTGGCAGTCACCTGTAGAGTGGTTTCATTTGGGATGCCTTCCCAACCGCTGTTTCCTATACATGACTGATGCATGAGGGTTTCATTGGGTCACCACAGTAGTGGCATTACTAATATTTCTACCATAGAATTATAATTAAAAACACATTTAATACAAATTGGAGTGAAGAAATACATTACATTTAGCTATACACCACTAGCCATCCAAGACAGGAACAGCATCCAGGGACTAGAGAATTTATAATAAAACATCCACAAGAAGAGAGAGAAAACTGAGCCAAGTAATTACTGACCACTGGGTTTGACTTATGGAAGCAATTAGAACTAAACTAGAGGATCACCTATATGGAAAACAGACGATAAAGATACATTTTAAAAAGTACGCTTTTTGAACAAGAGACAATATAAATTGATGGACACAGAGCACGCGGTATGGTACAGTACATTTTTATCTTTCTGAAATAATTTGATAAAGTCTTCTGAAACCCCAGGACTACCGGAACCCAAAGAATCTGTATTTTTTAATTTACATCAATGTTGTAGTATAGTTAGTAAATTAGTCAAATTGTCAGATAATACCAAATTACAAGCATTACCAAACAGTAGAGGCAGCAAATTAAATTTAAAAAATGAGACTGTGAAAACACATGGAAGATTATGTTTAATGTAGACAAATGCAGGCATTTGCATGCAGGTAGCATGTATTTCGAAGGAAGACTGGAAGACACTTGGGGGTCTAGAATAAGCAACCCAGAAATGTTGTTGAAATTTCAGGAATTAGACAGTATGGGCCAGGGATCATTTAGATGCTAGCAAACAAATGAGATACATGGGCAGTATGGTCCCATCTCATTTACAATTTAAGATCAGATAAGGCAACAAACGGATAAACTAATTTCAATCTATAAAAATATGAATATAATAAAAATATTTATTCTGTCTACATTATACACGACACCTTCAACATTTAAGTGAAAAAATTAAACGTTGAAATGGAAGAAGATGCATGTGAGAGCTTTAAGAATAAAACATCCTTATACGTTGAGCCAGGTTCACATTTTGGCAGAGCTGCAGGAACCTCTCTTTAAATGTGTTCATGTTACAGGAGGCTTGAGAACACCTTTCCATTTTGGTATCATTACCCCATGTGGGATTTCTGGGCTCAGGATACTGAGAATTCAAGTAGGATCAAAGCACTATACATAAGGCATTATTACACATCATTTTTTAAGTCCCTATTTTAAATTATATCAATCCATTACATGCAAATGAGATTCTTCAGATTCTAAATTTTCATTCTCAATCATTCTAATGGAAGTTATTTTAAGGATTCAATCAAGGATAAAAGCTGCATTAACCATTATTAAAACGCGAAGTCGGTAGACTGGAGCAGCTGATGCTTAGATCCCCTAATAATTTTCTACAGATTTACAGTACTTAAATAAAGGTACTAATATTTTTTATTGTAATATGAAGACACCTTAATTACAATTGTCTGGATGCATTAAAAGTAAAGAAAGCAGAAAGACAAACTATTTTAGTAAAACCAGGCTTTATCTTCTGCTGTCCATATAAATGTTTAAAATCTGGCCTATTAAATCATAATCATATGAAATCATATTTGTACAGACCCTTATTGTAATCCTCACGGTGTAATATATACATCAATTAAGCCTCAGTGGAGATGTACTTGCTTCTAAATGCCTTTCATGTAGAGGTATGTAAAATAAACAATAAATGCAGAACACTACCAACAATTTAAGAGACTATACGATGCACACTGTACTTCAATAATAATATTGAAAGGTGCCCTATATAAAATGGAAAACAAGAAACCCCAAAACAACAAAACTACAATGTATTTAATCCAAAAGCAATTGCAGGCTATCTCAAGCGGAGTGACCGACTCTGATTATCTGAAGAATTAAGTTTGCATTGGGGGACTGTTAAGGTCAAAACCATCTGTCATTTTTATTCTGAAAAAAAAATTATCTTAATTCCCTTAGGCTATTACCTACCAGACAAATTTCCCTTGACTGAGCCATAATAAGGCGCAGCAACTGGTTTGACTTGAAATGAATAGGAAATACAAAAGAGTGGCTAAATCACTTTTGGGACATTGCCAAACAAGGGGGTTGGGGGATTTTGTATTTCAAAAAAACGGCTCCAACACTATGGCAGATACAGGTAACAAAATGTCTGCATCTACCAGTATGCTGGTAATGCTGTAAAATGCAATAAAACTACTTGTATATATATATTAAAATTTGTGTGCTTAAACTACTGGAGAGCAATGCAAAATAAACTTTTACAACCCTGTTTAGGTTTTTTAGCTCACCTCTTTGTTTTGGTCCCCCATATTAATGGACCACATCGGTAAAGTAATAAAAACATTGCAATTTACTAGAGCAGTTTACTACAACTAGGAAATAATAGAAAATGGTAACTGAATAGAAGAAAAACTTTAATTACATTAGGTGTGAAATTGGCCACTTCAATCACAGGATTCAGTTAGTTCACTGGCTATGATATCAAAAACTAAAAATCCAAAGTCAGACCCAGACCACTCTTCATGGAATTGCACTACAGCTCCATTCGACAGGTTTATACAAGCCCAAGTCCCCTTATTTGTATCCCCCCTTTCAGAGGACTTTAAATTTAGGTGCTGCCAGGAATGTGTCAAATGTGTCAATGAATAAGATGTCACTCGCATCTAATAATCATAGTTATAATTTCTGCAAATGTTAAACATATTTGTGAAATTGAATGCAAATCAACAAATGCATGGTGAGAATTTTGGTGACTGATTTCATATGGACTAGTTTCTACAGTGGCTATCAAAAGTATTCACTCCCATTGGACTTTTTTTTTTTACACTTTGTGTCACAACATGGAATCATAATTTATTTCATCAGGATTTGTGCCACTGATCAACACAAAAAAAGATTAAAACGACAACAAAATTCTACTGATGCTAATAAATTACAGAGATAAAACAGAAAAATAACTGAGTGCATAAGTATTAACGTTTGGTAGAAGCACCTTTGGCAGAAAGTATAGCCATGTGTCTTCTTGGATAAGTCTCTATTAGCTTTGCACATCTGGACACTGCAATGTTTGCCCATTCTTCTTTGTAAAATTTCACAAGCTCTCTCGAGTTCGATAGGGACCATCGGCGAACTACGATTTTCAACTCCTACTACAGATTCTCAATTGGATTGAGGTCCAAGTTTAGACTGGGCCACTCCACAACATTGACTTTTTTGGGGGGGGGTTTCAGTCACTCCAGCTTGGCTTTGGCCACTGTCCCACCGGTAGATGAATATTCTCCCACGTCCCAGGTCTCTTGCAGACTGCGGCAGGCTCTGGGACTTCTCTCTATATTTCTCTATATTTTGCTTCATCTATTTGCCTATTATCTTCACAAGATCTCCAGGCCCCGACAAGTGAAGCATCCCCATAGTATAATACTGCTATTACCATGCTTACCTTGCTCGCCTATAAGGCTTTACATGGCTTGGCACCTCAATACCTGTCTGAACTTTTATAGCCCTACTCCCCACCTCGCAACCTCCGCTCTTCAAATTCTGCCC